CAACCGACCCTATTATACCCCTTCAAAACGCATCTAAAAGCATGAGAAACGCTAAAAATCTGACAGAGTTATGGTCAAATCTCTAAATTATTGGCTAAAATAGTAGGCTTTCAAGAATATTATTATAAAATTGTCAATTCTTCACCGAATTTAGCGTTCTTGGGCTTGTTTTAAAGCTACGACGCATGGCAATAATGTTTACTGCAAGGAATATGAAAAATATACGCGTTTTAATCGATTTTCTATTTTTTCGGTCCTAACCGGTTAGTAACTGCAACTAACCGGTTTTCATCGGTTATCTTCGGTCCAGTTAGGTTATTTTGCGTCTGGGAACGAACCCTAACCGGTCTCGGTCTCGGTTAGAGCCCCTGGGCACCCAATAACCTAACCTAACCGGACTTTCAAACACTAGATTATATCGTCGAAGCATTGAATCACGTCACAAGCTAGTGGTCGACAAGTCTCACCGAATGTACATGATGAGATCTGCACACGATGCTATGGGACATAGGGGAGCATATGCTACGCAGAATATGTTAACGGAGCGTTTTTGGTGGCCTGAAATCGAAAGAGATGTACATTGGTATGTGAAAACATGCCAGCGTTGTCAGGAACGTACCAAACATGTAGTGGAAATCCCACCCACCGTGACACATACACCATCTATTTTCTAACAACTACACGCTGATACCGTACACATGACTCCGAAATCTAATGGATGTAAATACATCGTCCATGGGAGGTGTGCACTGTCAAGCTGGGTTGAAGGAAAACCCCTAAAAAGTGAAACTGCAAGAACTGTCGGCTTATGGCTTTTTGAAGAAGTCATCTGCAGATGGGGTTGTCTAGAAGTAATAATAACTGACAATGGTTCGGTTTTCCTTGCTGCTGTAAAATGGCTCGAAGAAAAATTCGGGATAAAGGGTATTAGGATATCTCCGTATAATTCTAAGGCAAATGGCAGAATCGAAAGGCCCCATTGGGATATTATACAAATGCTCACAAAGTGCTGTGGACCCAAGAACCTTGCCAAGTGGTATTGGTTCTTTTGGCAAGTACTTTGGGCTGACAGGATCACGATTAGAAAAAGATTTGGTTGTTCGCCGTTCTTTATGGTAACAGGCGCGCATCCAATATTACCTCTCGACGTACAGGAGGCTACCTGGTTAGTAAAATTACCAGATCGTATGTTGTCCACTGTAGAATTGATTGGCTATAGAGCCAAAGCATTAGCAAAACACAGGCAGCATGTGGCGGAAATGCGCGAGAGGGTCACCTTAGAAAAAATGAAAAGAGTGGCAAAATATGAACTGAGCCACCACCATAAAATCAGTGGTCGAATGTATAAACCCGGAGACCTGGTGCTTTTCAGAAATTCACAGGTATCCTTGTCATTAAATAGTAAAATGCAACCAAGATACCTGGGACCTATGATTGTGGTACGACGAACAAAGGGAGGTTCATATATAGTTTGTGAACTAGACGGATCAGTCAATCACAATAAAATTGGAGCGTTCAGAGTCATTCCGTATTTCGCAAGAGAAAGGATCGACTTACCTGAGCACTTCAGTACACTTATTGATGCAAGCAATGAGGAACTGAATGAAATCGAAAACACAGGCGTTGAAGAAAGACCTAACGCAAGAGATTACTACTTTGAAGGAGTTAATCTTGATGGGTCTTCCGCAGATGAATCCGGGGACTAGTGTTTGAAAGTCCGGTTCGGTCCGGTTTTTTGATGCCCAGGGGCGTTAACCGTAACCGTAACCGGTCTGCATTTTCCCCAGAGGTCAAAAGACCAGACCGGACCGCAAAAAGACCACAGACCGCGGTTTTTTGCGGTCTATAGACCGGTTTCGGTCTGCATCGGTTTTAACCGGTTTATGACCGGTCTTTAGGCCAATATTTTAAAATTATGAATCGGTAAATTTATTAACATCTCTAATAGCTCCAAAACGAGCCCAAGAACGTTAAGTTCCGTTAGGAATTGGTGCTTCTATAAAATAAGTCTGGTACATCTATTATTCCCAAAAGTAATTTACATTTTAATTCATATCTCTCTCGTTTTTTTACCAAATCGTACGTTCTTGGGTGCGTTTTAAAGGGTATTTAAGGGGCTACAAAAGACCGGTCCAAACCGGTCAAGACCGGTTCACGTTAACCGGTTTTATTGCGGTCTTTACTTTTCAAAAATAAAAGACCGTAACCGCAGGTCCGGTCTTTTGCGGTCTTGGTCCGGTCTGGTTACGGTCTTTTTCCAGTCACGAGACCGGACTTCCAAACACTACCGGGGACTTAGAAGAAATCGAAGATTTAAGTGAAGAAGAGGCTCAGTAGACTTATGCTTTAAAATTGGCTAAAGTTTGATAAAACCTCCAGCAGTTTATAAACATAATGCGCAAGTGCCTTCTAGATTTTCCATGCGTAGTCAACTATACATGCGGGCTCTAGGTGTCCGTCTACGAAAAAAGTTCGGATAGTTCTACTACTCCTTAGTTACTTCACGCTCAGCAATCTGGGCAAGGGCAATTTCGTAATCAGCGACAAGTACATCGCGAAGACGAAGCTCCAAGTCGAGGCGCTGCATGCTGAGAAGAACGCGTTCACGAAGATCGACCTCTTGCTGCTTGAAATAAGCAAGGGTGGGATAAGCTGGCATGCGGTTGGTAACAGCAGCATGTGCGCGCGCTAAGATCTCCCTGTACAGAGGGTTGTCGATGAGCAAGGAGTTGGCAGACTCGTCTATAACAAAGGACGAGCGTGTTAGTTTACGATTTATGAAGATAAAAGATAAATACGAACTTTGACGAGACTGAAGATCTGCTAAACCACTAATAAAGGGCGGTTCAGTACGAGGACATTTGTCGCCGGCGCAACTGCCTTTGGCATGCTCGACGACGAGGGCCTTGTGAAATTCGCGACTGTTAGTGTCCATGCCTGGAACAGCGTCGTAGGGAATGCTGACCGTTTCGGCACGCTTGGATTTGGCTGGGGTCTGTTATGTCCGAATAAAATATGAAGTTAACAACGTGGCAGTGGACTCTCGCAATAATAGCAGCTTACCTTGGGACCAGAGGCAGCACGCTTCTTGCCTTTCTCTTTGGGAGAGGAAGCGGTGTCCTTGACTTCTTCGTCACCAAAGAGGTTGTCCACTGCCATCTGAGCAAGGCGGTACGCAATATTAAAATTGGGTTCTGCTCGACAGAAAATAAAATAAAAAATAACGCACAGTGTCAGCTGCAGTGATAGTGTTGGGGCCATCACACCCACCCATCATAACGTCGG